GGGGGGGGGTGAGAAGGGTTTGACGTACGTCTTCGCAGCGGCAATGTTGGACAGCTGAGCTTTACGACCAACCTGTCTGTCACCAGCGTTGGTGTCTATAAACAAGTCAGCATTCTGAGGCCAAGCACAGGCAAAACCTCCCCCCTCAAAGCAAACATACTCATCACCACCACCGGAGCCTGCATTTTGGCGGTGGTTCTGTGGCGTGTGTAGGAGAGGAGGGGATAAGATAAACGATATTAAGATAATCCTGCGGAAGGAAGCAGAATCTGAGCAGCAAACAGCCAAAAGAAGAGGCCGGTTCGTAGGATGGGGAACTGAAGGTGTTGTGCCCGCCGTCACCATCAAATTTCCAGCGCACCCCGAAGTGGGATGGCGGACAAGAAGCTCACCGCCAACTAGCCTGGATTGGGTTTAGTGCCACCCTTCCCCTGATCTATCAGTTCGACCGCCTCAATATCCAATATCTTCTACTTGGTTATAACGTTATACACATAATAATCTCTATATAACGAACTGCACACATCGCAGCAACTGCAATGGCTGATCTCTCAACAACGATACCCCAATCCAACCCATAGAAGAATATAATAAACACCCATCAAGCTCAAAAAGTGGTATACCGCAAAAACGCCAGCACAATCAGAGGCCCATCCCGATTTTATCTCTTCAACAGCCTCCCCATCCTTCGAATACTCCTCTTCACCCTACAGCGCATAGAAGTAATGACCGACCGGCTCTTCTTGCGTGGATCGGGGGATTGAACCGTGCCCCTACCATCCCCACGCCGCCGTTCTCTACTACTACTCCCCGTGTCTGTCTCATACAAAGGCCGGCCTCTTTCCTCCAGCCGCGGTCCATACCCATAATGCATACTGTAGTACCGCCTCGAGCTGACAGGTGAGCGATCCACATCCCTTTCAAAAACCGACACATCATTATGATGATGAAGAGGCGGGGATATTTCCAGTCCCGGTTCACCATCATCTCCGAACCATGTACTGTTTCCCCCCATGGCGGCGGCAGCGGCAGCGGCAGCAGCAGCATCAGCAGCAGCCTGAATATCATTGTGCCGGTTGACCGACCACTGCTGCTGCTGCGAACGCCAACTTCCATCCTGCTGGTAGGTGTTTCCCTGGGCCTGTCGCAGATGGTAGTGGGCTTCGCTCATCTCCTGGTCTGCCGACAGCCGGGCCATCATGTTCTTGAACCAGGTCTCGGCATAGTCGCTGTGGTAGACGGGGGGCCGACAGAGCCGGAGCTCGTTGTGGGCGCTCTGCTGCTGCTGGAACCGGTGGACGCGCTCCAGCTGCAACTCGCGCATGGTGTCTTGGAGGTGCACGGGCAGCTGCGCCAGGGCGGCTTCGTCCAGGTCGTAGAGGACCTCGTCTTCGTCGTCCGTGGAGTAGCCGCGGGAACCGCCCCGGGGCTTCGGTCGGGGCCCGGTCCAGGAGTACTGCCTGCTGCTGTTGCTGCTGCTGCTGCTTCGGCGTCGTCGTCGGGGGTAGGCATGACCCACAGGCCCTACGGGCGGAAGCATGCTGGATGAGGACATGATGATCCGCCAGCCACCAAGATGTCCTGGTACAGCTAGTTTGATGGGCAAAATATAGCGCTTCCCAAAAAGAGTCTCTGGGGCTAGAAGCCAGACGGAACCCAGTAAAGGCAAGGAAGCAAGAAGGCCAGCGTATCACCGGACTTGGATTAGAGCATTCATCGATGGCTAGAACATCAATTGTAAGCACAGGTAGAGAACAGAGAAGAACGCGCAACAGCTTCTTCGACTACTAACCTTTCACACGGTGAAGCATACATCAATTGACCAGTTTTCCACGGTATGGATGATACAGATAACGCGATAGGTGTCTTCTGTCAAGCATTTTTCTCCATGCCGTAGAGCATACATAGACAGCGGTGGTCAAGCTGGCGATCATAGATGATTTGGCTCATGGGGCACGTTTGTGGATGGATTGTGGATGATGCTCCCACTCCCCAACGTTGGCCATCGGAAAGGAAGGGGACAGGCCAGTTCATAAGTCATCCACTGCCCTTCGCCTTGCAGGGTGACCCCTCTGTTAATTTAAATGAAATTTTCTGCGATGGAGTGGATGGAGAATCTCCGTTCAGACAAGTCATATGCAAGAAAGACGGTGAGAAAAAAGCAAAATGAGTTGTAAGTTAACGGATGCCCAGTGCATCCAGTGCAGGAGAGGAGCGTGTAGCAAAAAGTACATTGAATAAAAACAATCCACAAAAGTCAAAAGACATATTAAGAACTAGGGAGGCTCTAACACCAGAAAAAAAACCTTGTTGTACATATTTGATCAGACACTATATTTCAAATCCTTCCCCAAAAGGTAAGTTTATCTCTCTCTTCAGAACTCGCGACTTTCGCCGATATCGCAGACATCGAAAACCCCCGTTTCCGGAAGATCGTGGTCTCGCAATGCCTCCTTCAGCTTCTTGGGGGGTTCAAGCACCTCTTCTTCGGTCAAGACCCATGTGCCCCAGTGGATGGCCATGGCTCGCTTGCATTGGGTGTCTCGGAAGATCTTGACGGCATCGTGAGGGTCGGCGTGCATGGTGCTCATGAACCATCTGGGCGCGTAGGCTCCAATGGGGATCAGCCCTAAGTCAAAGGGGCCTCGGTACTGTCCGATCTGTTTGAAGGCAGGGCAGGTGGGGAAGTTGTGCTCTGGGGCATGGTCGTTGGTGCCAGCTGGAAGTTCTGGAACTGCTGCGTACCCGGTGTCCCTGTGCAAAGTTCAGGAGATCTGGGTTAGGAAGAGGAATTATCCCGGATCATTCGATCATAAACCTACCCAGCGAAGTATAATTTCTGGCCCCCGGACTCGATGGACCACGAAGCCCAGAGCGTCTTGGCCCGGTCAAAGACCCCTCGGTTACTCGTGTGTTGCGATGGGAGGCAGCCGATTCGAGCCTTGATCTCAGCGGACGGGGAATTGATGTCTTCACCCGCTCCCTCGACTTTTGCCGGGGACTCCTGGGAGGGCGACAGGACGAGATCGCGCTCGTCCCACCAGTCTAGCTCTGTTACGTTCTTGATTCCGAGCTGCTCGAACCAGCTCTTGTTGCCCAAGGGAGCAAAGAAGTGGCAATTCGGGTGTTTTCTAAAGATCTCCTTGATGGTGGGATGAGAGAGATGGTCATAGTGGTTGTGGGAGATCACGACCGCGTCAATGATAGGGATATCTTGAACCTGGCAAGGAGTGTCGGTGAAGCGCTTGGGACCCATCCAAGACAGCGGAGAGCAACGGTCCTCGAGGACGGGGTCGAAGAGGACTCGCAGGCCGCTGGGAAATTCGACATAGTAACAGGCATGGCCGAGCCAGGTTGCGCGCAGGCTGGAAGTGGTGCGACTGGCCAGAAACTCTGCTTTCTGCACAGGAATGGTGGGCGGTGCGGTGCTCGGGAATTTGATCTTGCCCGTGATCATCTGCCTTTAAGCAACAGCAGCAAGAAGCATGCACGAGTCAGCTCATCGATGCATTGTCAAACCTGCATTGCATACACGGTTGTCGCTCTCTGCGGCCTGAGCACTTACCCCCAAAACCGTACAGCATCACTGATTGTGATATCTTTCCAGGAGCTGATAATAATTGAGGACAAAGTTAAGATCCAGCTCAGCGGGATACGTGTCATGCTCAGTTTGATGACTTACTTCCATGGGTTCTTGAAGCCACTGGTACGATGATGAGCCTTATCCTTGACATCACTCGGGCCCGGAGCTCCCGGCGCGAGCAAAACAGCTGCCGAATACAGGATCCCTGATGCGGGGGTACTCATATTGCGTTTTTCGAAAGATGACCCACGTGAGACCGATACACTGTGACGATGGAGAGAATTCCAATTTCGAGTCCAGAGGGCACGCATATCCAAACTCCGGTTCTTGGGGGGGCTGGGGGTTGGGGGTTGGGGGGTAGGCAAACTTTATAAGGACCAAGGTTCAAGGGACAGAGGGAGATGCGTGGCTCGAGCCCAAAAGAAAAGAAACTATTGATGACTATCAAGTATGCTGGCGCCTGCTAGTCACTTACGCAAAGACACAAAGACTGGAAGTTACTTTTTTTTCCAAGAGCAAATCCCTGTAAATTTACCTACGGAGTTGAATCGATGTATCTATAACTAACTCCGGCTGGCACTTCCTTATCTCCGCCACTCAATCCCTGCTGACGAAAATCCAAGTGGGGCGGAGACACAGGCGGATCTCCCGCCGCTTTTAGAGATTCGGGCAGTATGCATGGAATGTACAGGTAGTACTCATAGTAGAGGATACGTGCAAGGCGCGGAAAGTGGTTCGATACACACAAACAACACCACTGACATGAGAAGATCAAGAAGAAGAACAATGCGTTACTAGAGATATATTCCTTATGCTCTACCCTCCGACTGAATCAAATCCAAAATCAGACGAAACGGTCAGGTTAAATTAAGTCTTGTCATATCATTGAGTGCTTCTTTTCCGTCTTCTCACTCTTTCTTCTCTCTAGCTAGGGTATGGGGGGGGGGTGAATTAAAGTAGCTCAAGTATGACAGACAAGAGCCAAGAAAAGCAAGGCGTTTTGATGGGAAAAAGAAACAAAAAAGAAAGGGGGAAAACGAATCCATGTTCTCCTCTCGCCGTCCCAAACGCCTTCAAACAAAGAACCAGTAAGAACAAAAGTAAGATAGGCAGAAAGCAATCGTGTTCACTCCCGCTAGTTGTATTCCGTGCGTGTAAGTGGCAGTAGTCAGAAGTAGTAGGTGTAAAGTAAGCCAACGGATCCGGTGTAGCAAGTAATGGTAAAAGTCGTGATTCCCAAGTAGTCTTTGGTACTCGTGCAATGCAGTGGTAACAATGCATATGTCGATTCAATCGATGTTGACCGGCCAAGAGGTATAGTTCGGACGGGGGCATATGTGCGGTTTGGTTTGTGGGGGTTGGGTAATTGAGTCAAAAATGAGACACCAAAAGAGGGGCTAAGTTCTACTCTTCTTGGCCCGTTCATTACTATAGACTCCATCTCCCGTGTCCTTTGAGAGAGGGTACAGATGCATCCCCATATCCGTCGGGAAGTCCGGATGCAACATGTTGAACCGGTTGGGGTTTTGAGGGACGCCGTTCACCTCAGCAGGACTAGACTCGACAAGGAGTTGCGCCAGGCCTCTGTCGACAAAGCCGACCGGCTTATTGTGCAGCCGGTCCATGCGAGCCCAGTCATCGTCAACTTCCTCGTTCATGAGTGGCGGTAACGGGGGAGCGCCGTTGTTACTAGGACGCGCGTGGTAATTGGCCAAAATATTGTAGGGGAGATTGGGCCGCACAGCGGGCTTATCAGAGAGCTCAGCCAGGGCGTTCAGGGCGTGGTTGCCGTGTCCCCGGGTCGAGCGCGTGGCGTGGAAGTTTTGGCTGGCCGTCCGAGCCATATCGGTGGCCGGGGTACCGTTGTCTTCCGCGCCTGTGCCGTCGACGCCGGAACCCTCATCCGCGTCAGTGTTGTTGCCGTTGGTGGCGGCACCCGAGGGCTGATCCGCACGTTTGGACGTTGAGAAAAAGTGTACGGTAGCCACATGTGCATGGTTGGCATGCGCACTGAGCTCTTTCTCCGTAAAAAGGTTCTGGATTGCGTATGCGGGCGCTTGCTGTTGCTGCACCAGCTGAGCTTTTGCGCGCTCGGCCGGATGCGAAGATAAGCCCGAGTCCCTAACTGGAGAGCCGACATCTTCCTCGGGTGCCTTTCTCTTTCGCCTGTTGAACGTTTCTGCCATGGCTCCTTCGCCGAGCTCAAGATCGACACGATGGCGAGTGTGCCGCGTCTTGCGGTTACCGTGGATGCCACCTGGGCTGGCAGGATTGGTGATGCTGAACTGGTTCGGATGCAGGAGCAGAGCGTTGGTGTCAGCCAGATCCAACTGCTCTTTCTCCCGCATTAGACGGGCCCGTTTGCCGGTAATGGTCTGGACGAGACGTTCGCGGAGGGTATTTGCAAGGTGCTTGTATTCTTCTTCGGCGAAGTGGACACGGAACGCATACTCCCGTTGAAATCTTTCTAGATTGTTGGTATGACGATGCTAGGCAAGAAGGTTCATTAGCATGGGCAGGCCAAACCGGGGCCGGGGGGTGCAGAAATCATGAAAGAACGCAAACTTACTGCCAACATCGCTAAATCTGCATCCTTCTCAGCCTTGGCCTGGTTTACTTCCTGCACGAATCGCGAATACCACATCCCCGCCAGACTAGCCATCTCCTTGGCGAATTTCCCTCCGCCGACAGTATTCTCAATCAGTTGTGCAATTTCGTCCGCGGAATCGGGAAGCGGACCCGGCTCGTAAGGATCCGCATTGTTGATTAGGGTCATGTCGCATTGAAGGGCATGCAGTTGTTGCCGAAACTGGGTGTCTCGGTTCTGACTGAAGGAAGCCGTCAGGTCTTGAAGACGCTCCTGAAGCGCGCTGCGTCGCTTGTCCCGTTTGGAGAGCGGCACGCTGGTCGGAGGACTTGTCGAGCGCCCTCGGGAATGTATATTGTTAGACATGTTTGGGACGCCGCTACTATGAACTGGAGATGGAGGAGCAGGCGAGTAAGCCATAATCTGGGCGGATCGCTCGCCAGGTAAATGTGCAAAATAGAAGACGCTGGAGGGCTGGGTCAAGTGCGAAAGCGATCTATTTCTCTTTCACTCACTCTCCCGCTGTGTTTGAAAGACAGGTGCGATTGGGAGACGTTAGACAGAACTGCTGCTGTTAGAGAGCAGTACAGGTCCCAGTCCCGACAATTAAGCACATTCAGGGCAAAAAAGATATTGCAAGATGGACAGACAAAGCGAACCAGAACAAAGTGGAAGGATGAATGGATGGATGAACAGTGACGGAGGAGAAGCAGAAAGCGGGCAGCCGGCCGTTGGCCCGATACAGCTTAGCGTCGGGGACATTTCTCACCGCCCGGCTCACCCGCTCGCCTGGAAGATGCATTCTTGAATGTGAATAGATTCCCATAGTATTTGGAGCCTGGAGCTGAGATGAAATCGGACTGCTCTTCCTAGCTTTGTAAGGTCACCTTTCCCTTCCGGCACCTCATGCCTGATGCCAGACCCTGTGTTCCGATGAAAGAATCAATCTTCCAGGCAATCAAATCTATACAATTGCAAAGTAGTTCTTCAGTAGACTATGCCAGACTGGCACCCTCAATTTGGATGAATACATCCTATTTTATTTCGATACTTGGACCCTGCAATCCATCATCTAAGCTAATAGTAATAATCGTCATCATCATCGACACAAGCTAGTGGTCATCACGCTTCCATAACACAAGATATCCTGGGTATTCTGTTCCAACGGAAAAACAATGCAAACAGCCAATGCTTCCTAGATAGACGTCCCAAACATGCAAACTGAGACCCAATGTCCATCTAACTCCTCAAGACGCCGCCGGACCCGCCAGGTCCCCTTTTTATTGTACGACCATATATCCAGCCACAAACAAAATAAAAAGAAAGAAAAAAAAAAAAAAAAAAAAACAAGAATCAGTGAGTAGAACGAAGGAGGGACGCAAGGGGGGTGATGCGTCTGCAGCTCGCTCCACCCTGTCCGAGCCCGCTCATGAGTGGGATCGGCGGATGACGAAAACGCCCAACTCAACTCCATCGTGGGGTTCGGAATCCTCGCCATAAGGTCGTCGTCGAATCCCATCCAAGATCTCACCCAAGAGCATGGCCGAGGTCACCTCCTTGTCCTCCAAGATGTAGTTCGTGGAAGACACATTGGAAACAGCCTTGGTGGCCGGAAGACGCCGACCATTCTGCCAATACAAGCTAAGCACCTCCTTCATGCGAGCTTTTTCTTGGTGGATGAACCATTCGGTCCAAAGTTCCCGATCGAGATGGGAGCTGCCTTTTCGAGCGTCGACAATACTGAATTGAGAAGAAGAGGAGCTCAAAGAGTTACAGAGCTGGGCGAGGTTCTCCCGCATCGTGTCGAAGTCGTCCATATGAGACACGGAAGAGAGCTTGCCCAGATAACGACCGATATCCGTGGAAAGTTCATTCACGACCACGAGTTGACGAAGCAAGGGGTCCAGAATAGGACCCAGATACTGTGACTTGAAGGTAGATCCACCCCTGCGAGTCGGGTAGACAAAGAGTAACGAACCCCCGTGAGGGGACAGCTCGGATAGTCGATCAACCAAGAAGGACGGGCGATATGGCGAAAAGAGATCCTTGTATTCCTGGGCCGACGAGGGAGGGAGGTAGCGTTCCAAGATCGAGAGATGAACCGTGAGGGGTGGAACGATCGGCATGGGCGAGTGAGAGGGCCGGGTTTGGATGGGACCGCGGAAGTCGTGATAAGCTGATACCACAGCGGCACTGGAGAAGACGGTGGAGTTGAAGTAATCGTCGTTGGAAAATGAAAATCGAGGGCTATGCGGGGGTGAGGATGGTAGGTTGGAGAGGCTGAATTGTTCGGGAACTGCGTGGGTGATATTGATCCAGGGCGACTGTCCATGGCGGAGACGATTCTGTACTGCCTGCACTAACGAGCAATAGACACTGTCGCTGGAGGATATCGTAGCGGCCTTGTCAGCAGCGCGAGGATATGGGAGCATCTGAGAGACGATTTTGACGGCCTCTCCGCGGGAGTTCGAGAGAGCAAGTGATGAGACTATTCACGATGGGCCGATTAGCGGTGCTCACTCGCGGATTTCTGGATGCTGACTTACCTGTAGCTTCGATGCTGTTCTCAAGCCATGAGCTGTGATCACAATCCATCTCATCTGAGGACCCTGGGCTGCCACCGGAGCTCGACGGTGACACGTTTGACAGCTGGTCGGAAGGGCTACTGAGGCCGTCAGTCCGAGCTGGGGAATTGCCGATGTTTGGACCCTCGTCCATGACCATGGGCGCATGGTTTCGAGTTACATGTGACTCGAACAGCAACATATCGGAGGTAGGGTTCCACGCAATATGATCGTTATCATCTGGGGGAGTAGGTGGAAGAGCAGAGAGGTAGTCACTTTTGGCCGACGAATCCCACCCAGCAGAAGACTGCGATGCTCGAGTCGCCAGCGAACTGGAGGCAGTCGGACCAGTGGAAAGACGAAGGCGGGATTGCGGGGGAGAGGACTGAGAGTCGGAACGGGAGACTTTCGACGAGAGACCAAGTTCTTCGAAGGATGGGAGATGGAGAGAAGCGTTGCTGCGTGAGAGGAAACGGGAGACTGGAGAAGGCTTAGTGAGGATTGAGCCCTGCGAGGCTCGACGCTTCAGCCGACTGGAGCCAGTATCGGGGTGGAAGGATGCAGGAGATCGAGAGGAGTGGTGTTGTGGCTTGATAGGAGAGATCGGGCTAATGCGAAGGGGGTCGTGCGAGTCAAATGGCGACACGGCTCTTAAGGGCGAGCTAGGTTCCCCGGACACTTCTGACGATGGCGAAGTTGAGGAGCTAGAGGTTGTTGAATATGGAGAACGCATGACCGAGCTGTTTCGCACCTCCAAAGCAGGCCGAAACGGTCCATGACACAATGGAGAATTCATTCAGTCTGCGGATGAGGCGCTGCTGGCACAGTGGAAGCAGCAGCGAGGACGAGATGCAGGCGGACCCAATAACAGAATCGGGCCCTGGAGCAACGGGAGATGGCGGAAGATAAGACCGATTGGAAGGGGGGTGGTGGGAGGGGAGGGGAATTGGAGGGAGGGCAGATCAACGCCTCTTAATGATAGCGGCTCGGTAAATGATGGTCAGGTTGTCTGTCAGGAGGGTCGTGTGTAGTGGAAGGTTTCACGGAAAATATAGTCGAATCAATGATCACACAGATACCGGTAACAAGGTAGTGGAAGTGGTGGTAGTGGTGGTTGAGGCAGAAAACCAGTTTAGGGTGAGCGGAGGACGGGACGGTCGGGAGATTGATTGCTGTGTGGTGGAAGTATAGGGAGGAAGTATAGATGAGGGGAAGGGAGGGGAAGATGAAGGAAGCAGAGCAGAGGAGAGGAGAGGAGAGGAAGGTAAAGAAGGAGGAGGAGAAGAAGAAGAAGAAGAAAAGAGAGTTGTGGTGGTAGTTGTTAGTTAATGGAAGTGTGCGGGTGGATGTGGTTGATGATGATCGATGATGATACAGTGGGGAAAGGGCGAGATTGAAGGGCGAGCGAGACTAGAGACTCCAGCTAGAAAGCTAGAAACCCAAAGAGACTACTACCGTACTCCGTCGTAGAAATTCGAAATTCGAAACTCGAAACTCGGAGAGCGGCCAGACGCCATCCAGTCAGTAGGCACTAACTTAGATGAGCACTAGCAGCAACAGGACCGACAGACAACTGAAGAAGGAAAAGGGTTTTTTTTTTGAGGGGAATGGAGAGAAAAGAGAGTAGGAGGAGGTGGAAAGAGAAAAAGAGAGAAAAGAGTCTAGCCAAGGTGGAAAATGGAAGGGCCAGAACAGATGGATGGATGGAGGTGGTGGCAGTGGGTGGTGAGTGAGAGAGTGAGTGACAGCCCGAAAGGAACAAGACCCTCGGGCTGCGACTTTCCACCCGTGTTCTAGACCGCACCCGCACCCTGCCTGATTGGGGAATTTCCTGACACGAGGCCGCCGCTCTCTGCAGTCAGTCCGCAGAGAGGCGGTAGTAGGTGGTCAACAGGTCCAATTGTTCTACACTACTCCGTAACTATAATACTATTCTTAAATTTATCATTGATCATTTGTATGTATATTTATCTACATCTCAGCCTTTTATTCTACCAGACTCTATCATTTTTATACATGATTGTACAAGAAGAATAGAAACAATACTCAATAGTTAGTTATCCATCCTTCCCACTGTTACCATCCTGTAACATACAAGTAATTGGATGGTAACATCCTTCAGTTCCAGACACTGCCCGGACTCATCCCGACCCATCTAGACCTTCCACCCTCAGCCTGTTGTGCCAGTGGTGTGTCCCACTGCCTTTCCATAGTGGCTGATCGGAGCTAAGATGGGCAAAGCCGGGCGATACCTTACCGTAACCAGCATTACACGGGCCTTGTTGAGGGTGTCCTTTCCTTCCGTTGTGGCCACTTTTCTTCCTCCCCGTCCTTGGTTTTTGATTTTATCTCATTTCCCGTTTTTTGCTGGATTTTAATTATTTTTCTCGGGTTTTTTGCCCCCCCATCCCCTCCTTCTCCTTTCCATTACTCAAGACCCACTGCCTAGAACTGGGCTTACTGGGTTCACCTCCAGTCATGACTCCACGGTGGTCGCCTTTACCCGGCTTTACCACTCACTGCCCATTCTTGCGCTGTCTCAACTTCTTTCTCTTTCTCTGTTGTATGAGTATGTGAGGGTGTACTCCGTACTGTGGTCTGTATGTGTGGTAACGGGGAGGAGGACAAGACACACAACCTGCGGATGACCTGGTCAGTAATCCTATTTTCCACCCCACACCAACCCTCTCCCAATCTTCCTCCCGCCGAAGGCAACAGCTATTGCTACTGCTTCTTATGTCGAATGCGGCATTTTGATAAGTACTCATACCATCCACATCCCCAGTCCACCCTTATCCATGGCATGGCAGGGCTGCCAGGTGCCCCGTCAAGCTGTCCGTGGTGGTCAGGGCAGTGACAATTGATGTGGTCTGGGCTCCGTCCTTCTGCCTTTTTCCCTTTTCCCTTGCTCGCTCGCCTTAGAAAGGATCTCGTATTACCCGGATCAGCATCACTTTTTGACGATCATCGTCCTGCACTGTCTGATCGAGGAGGCTTGTTTGCCTGGTCTTGCGCGGGCGCCGGCGCGGGTGTGAGCCATGATCGGATCTCCGGGTCGAGACACGCTCTGAATCAGATGCGAAACAACAATGCCCATCCCCCCTACCGTACAGTACAATTTACATTTGAGGCGACGAGGCCAACAGCAAACACCTCGTCACACCGACAGACAGGCGAAAAGTAATCCCAAGGCGCCCGGCCGCCCGCCCCCTCCTCCCCGGAATATAGTCCCTGCACAAAATGAGAAATGGGGCTCTTTCGGCTGAAAATTCTGTGCACAATCAAGGTGGAGATTGTGTATAAATAGATTGGAAGGGGACTAGCTCACTAAAGTCACTTAGTGGCTCGGGCTTGATCGTCGCCGGCCTCATTGCACAAAATCATAACTCAGAATTTAATGTGTCGGAGGTTTTTTGGGGTGGCATAGATTTTACAAGGTCAGGCTGACTACCGGTAGGTATGGGGACAGCTTCAACCCAGTCCTGCTGTCTGAATGGAAACTCAATTGGTGATTCATACAGTCAATGCTCAAGTAAACACCAAAGGGGAAAATGATTTCTCGTCCACTAAACTGCTACTTCCCCAGATCCAGTCATGTTCCCATTTCCCCGAGCCCGCCGACCAAGCCAACGATACTTTTCATGAATCATCTATTCTTTTTCCCCTCTACAAGTAGTATGTCTTCTCAGATCTTGACGTCGTCAGCTTTCCCTTCCCCCCAGACCTCCCCCCCCCCCTTCACCCTGGTTCCACGGCAGAAAGGCGCACCTGCATGGCGCGATCGAATCCACTGCCGCATCCGGGCGGATTGACGCCTAGACCCTTGTTTCCGTGCTGCCGAAAAGATCCGCCTAATGTGATCGGGATGCCCTTTGGGTAGTCAGAGGTTGAACAGGTCCTTTTTCTCTTTCATTTCTTTTTCTTCGCTTGAGGATTTAAGGTTCAATTTGCTTTAACCGCGTGAGTGCGTGTTCAGGTTTTCTTTTCCGTGAACACCGCAATTTGACTGCAGTCGAGATCATTTCATCCTCACGGTCAAGTACTCGGTAGCGTGACTCTGCTTCCAGATCATCTCATAGGCTCTAAGGCAGGTACGAGTCACCAGAAGCATAATCACCTAAGCACACCGTACAACCTGACTATCTCGATACACTTTGAGATTGGAAACCAATTTAGACTTGCCGACTTTGCCGTGACGACTTTTGGTTAGGCGCTTCTGAGCTTCTGAGCCTTTGGAGGACATCATGAGATCCGTCAAGTCTACAGGGTAGTTACAGTAGTAAATCAGCAAGATCCTTTGTCAAGTATGTACTCCGTAGATCCGGGCTGAATCCCGCCGAGCCTGAGGCTGAAATCCGCAATTGTCTATTGCTTTGCTTTGCTTTGCTTTTTTTCCACTTGGCCAGTGTCTGTTCATTGCCCATGCCCATCAATCAATCCACCGAACCGAACCTCTTAACCTTGAAACCCCTTAATGAGTTTCTGTTGCTAGTCACGGGCACTGCCACTGACATGCCCAAGGTAGTATCGATGAACAACATCATTCACTTCAGTGAATTCACAAATGTAGACTATCCGCCCGCCAGTGGTCTAGCCGCGCCTTTCTCTCCCTTTCAATTCCACCTACCCATCGCAACTGGAAATTATGCCCCTCCCCTCACCCGGATCGGCTCCATCCGTAAATCCGTCTCTGTCGACTTTTCCCCATCTATGGGTAGAACCCTGTTCACGACGTCAGTGGCTGGTCCGATTTGGGTCCCGTGCTTTTTTTTTTTTTTTTCAACAAGTCTTCAAGATTTAGCGCAGCTAAAACTAAAGAGGAAAACATGAACATCCACAAAACCACGGGGATAGGGAAAAATTCATTGACATTGATAGGGGAAGGGGGGTCGCTTGTAGGTGGTGGTCGGTCTACAGCTTCAAGTGGGCTTTGGGTTTTACATTATGGGTCATTGGGTCTGCAGTAAAATTGCATGACCTTTTCTACAACAACAATGAGGTCAGAATTTATGGATGCACGTACTGTACACAATACTCCAATTCATTTCGCTAAAGATCACTGCATCACTGCACCACTGCACTGCACCACAGGAAACAGAATCCATGACGGATAGATTTCCCCCACCTATGGGTCAGGGAGATTGCGCTTCCCAACCGTGCGGTTGACGGCCGGCACTGGCACTGGCACTGGCACTGTCAAAGTCCTGCCACCAGTCATCAACAGACCCAAGGGTGTGTGCACGTATCACCTGGTCCTTGTCCCCTTTTTTTCTGGGATGTGTGCTCGGTAGACTTGCTTGATGGGAACAACAAGAAGCATAGTTAATTGACTAGAAGAACGAATACGGGGATATTGTTTGCTTCCCACAGATTTGCAGGAATTAATGTATGAACGACCAAGAGTAAGATTATCTTGTAGATCTCCGCCGCAATCCTGTTTCCTTTGATGGTGACACCTGACAAGGGAAGGAGGAGTCTGACCCGAGAGTCTAGATTCTCTTGTGCAAATTCCATGTACTGGACTACAAGTAAGTACACAGTACTCCGTAAGTCATGTTGATCATGGTTTAGAGTTGACGGTCCTCGATAGTATCCCCCAGAATAATAAAATCATGGATTATAACTAAGTCACGGGAATCACCAAAGTAGCCACATACATACTCCGTATGTGTGCACGCATTAGAGGAGCTAGGTTGCGATAATCATAACTTATGTAGAAAGGTCGAGTCCGTTCCAAAAGAGCGGTGCTAGCAGTCTATCTACCTACTATTTGCAATGCCATGCGATACACCCTTCATCTACTCCCGTGGCAGTATCTTTCCCAATCCAGGATCACCAACTTACCACACCCTATCCCCAAACATCAACATCATCCACCCATCCACAAACAGTACCAAGTTACAAAATGATTGTTATCAGATGATCCAAACCCCATCACTACCCACCCCAAATCCTCATGGCTAGGTACTCATAAATCCAACCACGCAACCTCCCAACCCCCAATCCAACAACATACACCGTCCCCCAAAAGAAACACTTTTAATCAACCCGACACAAGCCAACTGCCTACCCCACAAACCCCGATTTTCCACGTACTTTACATACATACATAGATAAAAATTCCTCATCCCAACTCCACACCCCAATATCGCTTGTGAACACTAATACCCAATCAAGCCGTCGACAACCACATCCCCCTCCGATCGCAATTCATCATTCTCATCAACCTGAAGCCCGCAATTGTTGTCGGAATATATTAAAAACGGCCCCCCCTCCCATTCTTATCCCGCCCCGCCCCGTCATCTCATTTAGAGTTGGTCGTGGTAGAGTACGTATACGTATACACCCTCCCACTTCAATGGTTCCCTCCCGTCCCTGGCCTGGCCAACGCCCGGCCGCTCGGGTCTCTTTCCTTTATTGTTTCCCTGGACATGAAGAAGGGACTCGAAGGGAAGGAAACGCCACCGGACGAAAGAGGGAGGTTGTGCCGGGGTCACGGACGGGTCTCGACGCCGAAGGGGATTCGGTTGAGTCGATCTGTAGCTCACTTACTATGGGATCAGTATTCTTTTGTTTAGTTTTTGGGGGGAAAATAAAGAACAAGGAAGTAGGCTGCAGGTTCGGTCTCTAGGTTGAATTGCGTACAAATGTCAATCCAGGCTGCATGCAGCTGAGGCAGTAGTTTGTTTGCTGCGACTTGCTGGAGAATAAATTGGTTAGTTGGTACTGTACAGTACTTGCAGTCAAGTCCCCGGACAGGGGTCCGAGAGCTGGGGTCGATGAATTGCCGATAGTCAATCTATACTATGCTTGATAGTGTTCAACTCCCGGGGTTCAGTTGCCCTGGAATGATGATAGGTCGAAGTGGATGCCAATGCTCTGTGACTTCGTGTTTCTTGTGAAATATAGATGTCAGAATTATGGACGGGATTGTTGCTTCCTACTTCTCCCCTACCTTGTCCGCTCAGAACTGCGAGCAACAACCCGAGGTGAGAATATCCGGCTGATGCTGGATTTATGGATTGGGTGCTAGCCATACACTGATCCTCTACAGTTGTGATATCGATGCAGATGTATGATTCCAAATTGGAGTTGCGACAAACTGACTGGCAATGACTTCTCAACCGTGCAGCGATTACAGGACCATGGCCCTGCTGTCTCAATCTTACGGCATGTTCTTTGCACCTACACTGAGTGCAGCGATGAATGCCGACAACAGTCCTCGAACCCTCGCATTTATAATCAACACATATCAAGCACAGATATAGGAAAACAAATCCTTCAGCCTGATGGATGGATCAGACTCCGTGCCCAGCCTTCGACAATCAGCAACCAAGGACATAACTCTCGTGAACTTCACCAGATAAAGGACTGCCCTCACATGCCCTTTGCCCCCTCTCTCCCGCAGGATCCCTAGCTCAAACCTTGCTCAACATAGCACCAACGCCAGAGTCTCCGGGGTGGGGGGGGAGGATGATACGGCGGACCCGGGGCAATGGATGGCGGCGCACCCTGCCTGCCTCCTCGATTTGCAATTCTGCTTTCGACAGGATCATCTCATCAGCCAACTATCACCATCGTCACCAGCATTCAGGACAACCACATCCAATAGAACCCCCATCCCCTCCCCACGAGGCTGCTGCTCACTCCGGAACGGGCAACAATGCTAACCCCTGGGGCACGTATCATTACTAGGAAATTAGTATATAACCCCCGCACCCTCCCTCGTAAATAGCAGCCAGCCGGAAGCACCAGGGCTGGAGCAGGTACACCTCAGCCTCATATGCATTGCAGTACTCAGACGGGACAAACATGCTGGTATTCATCACATGTGCCCATGAATCCTGGGACCCACGCAATCAGCTATATATGCAGGGTAAGCAGGACAATATACCAAACATCCAGCGACAATCCCCCAGATGCCAACTGGGCAAGGTAGGAGTCTGAAAGAGAGAGAGAGAGAGAGAGAGAGAGAGAGAGAGAGAGAGAGGTGACGAGGAACAGCGGCTCCGAGACTTCCCTCCAGCGGGCAGGGATAAAGAGGGATGTTGTCGCGAGTGGTTGCTGACGTTCCTAGCACTGCCGAGGATCTGAAGTAGAATGACATGACTCGATGGGATCATGCAGCATTGCGTTTCTTCACTTCATGTCCAAGTCCGTAGGTATACGGCGAGAATCGGGAGGCCGTGCGTACAACACGACTAAAGTTGAGATTCACTACGAAATCATCCACGGCACAGTGGCAGTTGTACCATCAAGCTCGCGAACGAGAATTCGTGTAGTAAAGACCCGGGAAGGAACCATCCATAATCGAGATAACATACCCTTACTCACGCACCTAGAGACAGGGACAATCCTACCTAGTAGCTCCAAGACGAGACAGGCAGGCAGACAACAACAGCGTCGAACCTCCCTACTTCCGCTGTTGGTGATCATTCAAGCCGAACCTTGAAACAAGGATGCTCCCGAGGCAGGTGCCTTATCTTTGCGGTTGTTGGCAATGGCAGTTTCCACTGATCGAACGTCACAGGATGTAAGGACAAGCTGACCATGTCTCGCTTGTGGCGTTGATGATAACGTCCTTTGAAGGAGCCTGTTTCATAACGCCTTGCGCTTGCCAATGGGATGAAGAATTAATGACTCGGCCCATTTGGAAGAAAGCCCAGAGCTGCGGTCGCACAACATCATGGAATGTTCAAGACAAGTATCATGTACCCATGTACTCATGTACTCATGTAGTGCTTAGCATCATGCCATCAAGATAAGTAGTACTGGAGAAAATGTAGCCTGAATCGAAAAGTCCTGGTATGGATAAGGCAAGGAACTTCTGGAAAAGGCTCGCGGCATTGGTTTGCTCGGTCGCTCAATGCACCAAATGCAAGTCAGACTTACCGTTGATGCATGTCCGTAGATTGGGCTACAACTTGACTCATTACAGGTGAATGTTTACACATGTGGCTAGGTTGGAAACTGACTATTTGCAATTGGTCTGTATTTCACTATCTGGTGTAAACAGAGTAAGCTGAGTTACGACGCGCGTCTCAGAGTTAACTCATCGGTCGACTGCCCAGTGGGCTATAAAACTCGACATTCATTCGAATCCCTGGCCGCCTAAACGGGGCCCATTGCTCCCGAGCTTGCATCGCAATGCGTAGTGCAACAGCCTTGCTGCAATTGTTGGCTGGGCCGCCCCTGCCCTCTGGCTGACGAATGCCCGCCGCACAAGTGCATCTCCGCGGATCACCTCCTTGCGTACGTGGCTAGAGGCCGACAGCTTGATAGCTGCCATGCGAATCATATGAGCCTTGCAGGACGAGTCCACGTAGAGATCGCTTGCGTGATAATGCGGCGGGTTGATCTGTGAGAGTAGTAGGTCGCACAATATAGGGAGATAGCAAATTGTTCGCTTCCCGTCGCCACGTCCCACCCCAGATCTGGGTTTCGACTCGAGTGTTCACAGAGTCATAGAACTGCATGTGAGTAATGCTTCACGCAGAGCTAATCACTTTCGACCCAGTTGACAGAGTGAGCCGGAGTCATGCAACCATGCCTCGATGGGTGGAAGGGTGTGGTAGGATAGGTGGATCGCTCGTATTCGTGACCATCAAGTCCAAAGGTCGGAAACTTTGATTATGAAACCATACCAAGGTAGCACTTTCAAGACGTCACGGATCTTCTGCGAGCATCCGCGTGGCGGCGAGTGTGGAAACGTTGAGGCCGATCGGTCCGACGTGACTGCATGCCGCGACCGGCAGTGACCTTGGCCATCAGCTTTTGTTCGTCGCCCATTGTGATTGTGACTGGCGTGCAGTTGGCCGATTTGGCCACAACAGCCGGTCGTGACGAGTCACAGTGGAAGCCGGCGTGGTACGACATTGACGGCGGCAGGTCTTGCCGATCCAGCGCCGCTTGCAGCTCCAGACACTGCAACACCAGCTCCTTGACGCTATCGGTCAGCGCATACGCGCGGTATTCGATATCCGGCCAAAAATCATCGCCCCAGAAGGGATCTTCCCGGACGGCGGCTTCCAATGACCTGAGCCAGAAATCAAAGCTCGGCAACCGTCTCTTTGTCCCTTGCAAGTGGTCGGACAAGAGGCAGGCCACGGCGATAAAGCGAATGGTGGGCTCGGAATTCATCACATGAAGGACAATGCACGCCGGGCAACGCTCCGTCAGGTACCAATCGTGTTCCTCGGTCAAAATAGAGTGTAACCAGGCATAGGCACTCCGTGCGTCCCCCCGGAAGGCCCGGTCGGCCTCCGCTCCTTTGCGACTGGGCAAGACATTGGCGGCGATGCGCGAGGCTTCGTGATGCAGGAGAGACAAGGGAAGAAGCAGCGTGTGGATGATGTCGCGATGCAGACGGAATGTCTCTTGTTCCTGGGCAAGACAGGAGTTGCGGTGGCAGGCGCAAAAGCTACAATCCACCCGAATTAGCCCTTGGATAACCAAAACCACCAGCCTCTTCAGGAGTCACATACCTTGGGGCCTTCATGCCCAATTCCTGTCGCCTGAGATGTTCTCGCATCATGCGAAAAGCCTCGTTGCGATCCAGGTTGTCGCGGTCCTGGTGCGAGATGCGAAATGGCGATACAGTATTGGCAGTCGACATGGTTCTTAATTGAGTCGCCCGTGGACTATGTGGGGACAATAGTAGTATTTAAAAAGGGTATTTGGTAGAGGCGACACTGAGTCGCCTTGTGAATGAATCGTGGTGAGGTGCTATGATGAGGTAGACAGTGTGCGCACACAACTAATCTGTGGCCAATCAATTATGGCAAGCACACTAGGCAGAGAAGCTTTCCTGAAACGGCAATGATGAGGGAGGAAGGAACCACGGATAGCATGTTCCAAAAAAAGAATTACTTGGAGAGTTAATGGACAGAGCAGACTGATTTCTCGAGGGGAGGAGTGAGGTTGATAAGCAAGCGAAACCACAACAGTGACCAGTGATGAGTGACGAGAAAAATCCGGGGATGAGAGAGTTGGGGGGGGAAGGGAAACAAAAGCGAATATGAATATTATTATAATAAGCGCGATTGACAGCGACAAGGGAGAGAGAGAGGGGTTATTGTAGATGAAAAAGGAAAAGGAGAAAATGAAACGGTGACGAGCGATGCCCACTGCATCGAATGCGGGAAAGGAACCTTGAAGCCAGCCAAACCCAGCCAAAACCAGCCCAACCCAGGCGAGGCCCCGTCATCCACGCAAGCCCCCGACGATCCAATTCAACTGCTCCAATTCCTTTATCTCTCTCAACCTCTTCACACCGTTACACCCCTGCGACCGTTCAATATCCTGACTCTGGTCTGCAGCTTCGATGCGTGCAACGTTCGCCGCTTCCGATAGCACCTGTATGCTTTTGCCGCCAATTTTTGGCATCCTTCCTGCCCTTCCACCAGGTCCGGGAAAATGAATGGAATTGTGTGGACAGTGGGAGGGAGGGAACGGACCTCGACCGCACAGTGATCCTCATTATCTGGCCATGGATCGGCCAGGGTCTCGATCGTTGTCCAGACCCAGTGGCCCCTCGTGCTGCCCGGGCAGAACCTTGACTAAGTTGACTCTGAATAACTCGGTCCATAGAAGGTCCATAAAAAAGGGGGGGCAATTTCAGTCGAAGGCCGCCAACTGGCTCGGGAAAGACTGGGCCGCCCACCAAACTAGTCGAGATAGTTAATGATAGTTGGGCACGATTCCCGCTGCCATCACGGATTCACGATAGTCTCCCACGTATGGCGTCACGAAAGCCAACAAAGCCAACACATGAGATCAAGATCCAAGACATCGGAGAGGCAAATCGGGAAGAACACGAACAACTGCTGCTTTTTTTGGTCGATGATTTTTGCCCCTGCTCCTTTTTTCGGGGAAGTCTTTTGGGGGGTATCGAATCTCAAGGTGAGAAACATGTAGATTGCGCTTTAATTATCACAGTGGGATGCAGTGGGATGCAGTGGGGGGAACAATTGAGACATTGCAGCAACACCATTGGCGAGGATGTCTGAGATCGGAGAATGACTAAGCTCACCTGATCCCGGCCTGCCATTCCGGGCATTTCCGACGCTCCTCGGACGAGGTCGGCTTAGTTCCATTGTGGTGGCCTGAAGAGCCAGGCCCTCAACGACGGTTCATTCCTCCCTCCCGAATTACCCGATTGGGAAGGGCAATTATACACCTCCTGGACTGGCTGCACACTGCACTGCTCCAAGTTCTCGCTCTCCCTATCTTCCAGAGACTATGTTGACTGTGCATAGTCAATCCCTCCAAAGCATTGTTCACGTCGCTGCAACGCGAACCCTGCATACATTCATGTTGCCAGTATGGCAGCTTGAAACTCAGGCATTTGACAACTCCCTCTGTCTTCTACCTTAATTCCCCGCCCCCTGTCTGCCATTCCGCTGCATTCCAGCTCATCCCCCGACACCAATGGCTTCAAGGAGGCCTGCGCGAATACTCTTTGACGTCATGCTACTGGAAATACCATTGTCAGGCATGTCTCCGTCCAGAAATTCACGGTGCCACGGTATGGCTGGGAGCCATCTCAAACTCCCAGGTACCGCGTCGCGAGGGTGTTGAGCAGCATGGCATCACATATTAAAGAACCCGATACTGTCCCATGAGATGCAGGTCTGGCCTCTAGTGATTTCAGTTGTTCTGTTCTCAATCGAGTTGCATATCGCGGAGAATTGGTTCGACTGTCTATCGAACCCTTGCAGCTGCTGCCTCGGTGAACACAACTAGCCCGGTAGCTGGTCCAGCACACATTCGCCTTCGTGCACACGAAGCTCCTGTTGCAAACTCATCTGTCAGACAGGTACAATCGCTTTGTCCTCATTCATCTGCTCGACATTAGCCATTCTGCACGAACGACCGCCACACGTCGACATTGAAGCACCCTCAGCTATAAGCCGACGCACATTAGCTCAACTCGCACAAAATGAAGGTACGCCGCTCACCGTCGCTGGCGACACTCTCTCTGCTGCTCGCAGCATCAGTGCCTCGCTCTGCACATGCCATTCAGACTATTTCGGCCGTGGGCTCGAAATTCTTCTATGAGGACGGCAGGCAATACTATATAAAAGGTACAGCGCAGCGGCCTACCAATACCACTTCACCGATCCTCCTTACTAACGCAAGTGCCCTTGGCGCTAGGAATCGCCTATCAGCTCGTTCCCGACGATCCCTTGATTGACACCGCTCAATGCACGCGAGATGCGGCCCGCATGGCTGAGTTGGGCACCAACGCAATCCGCGTCTATCATGTGGACCCTGAAGCCGACCACGACGGCTGCATGAAGGCCTTCGAAGATGCAGGCATCTATCTCTTTGTGGATCTGGACACGTTCGATACAGCGATCTCCCAGGTCCGTTCCCAACCTACAGAACCTCATACCAGGTCACATGACCGCCCCGTCGCCGTGATACTAATGACCGTGTAGGTCGAGCCCCATTGGGACCAGACCCAATATGACCGGTTCGCAGCTGTTCTGGATGAATTCCAACAATATAACAACACGGCCGGATTTTTCGTCGGCAACGAAGTCCTCACCACCAAGGATGGCTCTGCGGCCGCGCCATACGTGCTAGCCGCCGTTCGCGACATGAAATCCCACCGCGACGAGAAGGGATACCGCCCGATTCCCGTGGGCTACTCTGCAGCCGATATCGCAGAACTGCGGCCCATGCTGCAGAACTACCTGGCCTGTCGGTCTGACCCCGCCGAGCGACTGGACTTCTTCGCCCTGAACGCCTACGAATGGTGTGGGGAGTCGACCTTCACCCAATCCGGGTATGAGTCTCTCCAGAAGCAAGCCGAGGGCTACCCCGCCCCAATCTTCTTCTCAGAGACCGGCTGCAATGTCGCGCGGCCGCGGACCTTCGGCGACCAGGCCGCCATCTTCGGCCCCGAAATGGCGGACACCTGGTCAGGCTCGATGATCTACGAGTGGATCGAGGAGACCAACGACTACGGGCTAGTGAACTACGGCCCTCCTCCACCGCCTCCGGCCGCGCACGCACCCGCCGCCGCCGCGGCCACTACAAACGGGCCCCTCGTGCAGGATGGCTTCGTCCGCCAGGGCGAACCCACCCCCGTCGCACCGGACTTCGACAACCTCAAAGCGCAATGGGCCACTCTGAACCCCACCGGCGTCGCTCTATCCGACTACGCCGCCTCCACCTCCACCATCACCCCGCCAGCGTGTCCCGCCTCCACCGCCGGCGGATGGGCCGTCGACCCCAGCGCGCCGCTGCCGACCCTAGGCCAAGCGGCCCCATCCCACCGCGCGGCACCGACAGGCGCGGTGGCCGGCGACTCTTCCTCCAAGGATGACAGACCCCCGCGGCAGCAGAAGGAGGTCGATGCCTCGGACGCCATGTCCGCGTCCTCGGCGCAGACGATCCTCCCCTCCTACGAGCTCAGCAACGGAGCCGGTTCCTTTGCGATCCTTCGCGAGGGCAGTCTCAACCGCGCCATCGAGGTGTCCCTCGCTCTGTGCACGGTGGTCGGAGGCCTGGCGCTGTGGTTATGATCCCTGGTGATCTGACGTATGTTACGCAACCTTTTTTGAGTATTTCGCTTCTGACGGTGTCCCGGCGTTGTCCTGCTTTGAAATCCAGGTGATTTCTTATTATTCGCGGTTCCTCCTTCATGTTTTGTCTTGGAATCTTCTTCATGCATTGTCATGTAGACTCAGCCCAAGCGCGGTTGGCCACTGGATGGCCACCCCTCATCAATACAGTATCAGTTAAAACATAGCCATAAAATATACATTGACCCCGCGAAGAGATTTTCCACGCACGCGAATCTTGCACAGTGGTCACACATTCAGTCACCCATAGGGAAGCGGGACTGGACTACTTTTGATACGTACAAGCGGTCCACTAGGTAATCAGGGAGGCGCCAAAAGGTCAAAAAGAGAATTAGGTATCAATCACAATTCACAATCCACGCCGAGAGACTCCGCCTGCACAACCATGCATCGTCACTCATCACGCCGGAGGGGGAGTAGGGAGGGTAAGGGGATGGGAGTGAGCTTAGGGGTTGAGTGTAAATATCCTATGGCTGTCAAATATGAGAAGGGATTTACAGTATGTCTGAGAGGTGCAAGAGATCAGTTGGGCGGATGGTGGCTGAATAACGACGGGATTAAGGAGGTGGGTTGAAGGTTCAGTACGCATCTGCACTGTATCGGCAGGAAGCGTTTCGAGTGAAGGGGTAATAATGACGAAGGAGATACTGGTGAGAGGATCAGGGGGGGGAGGATGAGGGAAAGGGGGCTGCGGCGATTGCTGCGCGATGACGAGCTGGGTGCTGAGCATATTAGAGGTACAGATATGTGCAATGCTGGGAATTATGTTCACAAGGAAATAAGTGAAAGGTGGGGGTGGGGTTAGTTTTTCCCCTTTGCGATGCTGTAGTTCCACGAGGGATCATGGTGCATTGTCGGCCCGGATGCATACTCGGGGTCCAGCCAAGGGGATGGGGATGCCGTCCTGGAACTGATGTACCGGTCATGTTGTTCGGGATCGGTGTCGCTGCCGGCGGTGACATGACTATCTGTCAGGTAGCAGTCGGGGAGGCTGGAGCTGGAGGCGGAGGCGGAGGCGGCTGGGGAGGGTTGATAGCTCTTGAGACTCACGGGTCCGCCGGAGTTGCTCGTGGTCGTGGTGGGGGAGTACTCCGTGCTTGCCGTCGAGCTGATCAAAGAGGACGGTGACCGCGGTGCTGCCGGTCCAGCGCGCGGGACAATCAGGTTGTTCGAGGATAGGTCGGCGTTCTTGTTGGTGCCGACGCGCAGGGCGTTCTTCGATCGTGGAGCGTGGTGTTGCAGTTTAGAGGTACAGTGTATCGGAGTAGCGGCGGCGGCATCCAACTTCTGGATCGCGCGCGCGAATAGCTGTTCGACCTGGAACGCGGAGGGACGCTCGGCTGGGTCTCTGCTCAGCATGACTCGGACGACATCGAGCATTGGTCGAACGGCCTGGAAAATGGGGTCTTTGTGTTTTTTGGCGTCGTTGTCCAGGAGCGTGATCCACGAGCATACCTGGCCGGCGTTCCGGTCCAGGTGAAAGGAGCAATCGGCGACGCCGCCCCCGCGGCCGGCAGTCCGATTCTTAGCTCCCCGGTGATGAGCAAAGGCGGAGAGCTTGCGTTTGCAGAGAACGGTAAAGATGTCTAGTATCACAGCACCGAGGGAGAAGATATCGGAGGCTTCCGGGTCCGTCTGGCGCGTCTGCCAGGTCTGGACTATGGCAGCGTTCGTGCCTATAATTGGATAGCCGATTGGGTGATATATAGCGGAAGAGGCGGAAGAGGAGCCCGAGGAGTTGGAAGAGGTGATGGAAGGTGTATAGAACATGGGCCGTTTGATGGATCCGATGGTGCGTTTGCGGACACTTCCAGTACTGGATCCGGAAGAGGATGACTGGGTGAAGGAGACTCGCGAGGAAGAGGACCCTTGCAGGCCAATGCGTATGGCAGTACCCTGCGAGGTGACCGATTCTGCACGTGGACTATCCGTCTCGTGATCAGACGGCAGAGAGCTGCGGAGTCGAGACAAGCTCAGGAAAGACGGGCGTGTGGTTGACGAGGCCGACTGCTTCCGAGCCGAACGGCTCCCAGATGGAAGACTAACCAACGGTCTCGTTATGTCAGTGTTCTGAACACTGACCGAGCGCACCCAGCGCTCTGGGGAGCCATACTGATACGACTCGACATCATCCAGCTTGGCCGGCGATAGCAAGGTATCGAGCGCCTCGAATTGACCTAGATAGACTCGGAATTCAGCATCGACCAGGATGTTCGACGGACGGATGACGCTATGTGCATGGCTATGCGCATGCAGCCAAGACAAGCCATCGGCCAAGCAATGCGGCCAATTGACCAATATCTCCCGCCGCTTGTTTTTTGGGAGCCGTTTAAATGGTTGAGGCACGTCGGTGAGGAAGGACATCAAGGTGCGTTCGTATACTCCAGAGAAGAGGATGCAGACCGTGTTATCCACAAAGTAGGACGCATAGATTGAATAGACGTGGTCATGGGCCAACCTCCTCAAAGAGCGGATCTCCTCCAAAACCTCATCCTCTTCAAAGAAGTGCGGTGCTCCGCCGACAGTGACTTGCGTTCGCAGGAGTATACGGCACGTCGCGCCGGCTAGAACCACCTTTTCGACACCCTCCCTTACCAGCGATGTTCCCGTACGGAGGAGTTCCACCGGAACGCCCTCGTTTTGAGTGTACTTCACATGGTCGCCTGCAGCAATTCCGCGTACAATGAACCGCCATTGAGCCAGGAAGAATCTATGTTCGAGGTCGGGATTTGAGCCGTCCGCGAAGAGAGGCAGATGCTTAACACTAGGAGCCGAGAACGGTAGATCCGAGTCATCCAGAGACTCGTCTATCAACGCGAAGATCCGATCGGGGATGCCGATGTCGACAAGAATGAGAAAGAGCCTGCCGGCCTTGGCGATGATCCAGTCGAGATAGGATTCGCTCGTCAGGCCCTCTCCCCAAGGCAGCGGGGCCACTAGACGGTGCAGGACGTTTGAAGGGAGCTGGCCGAAGACATATTCCGGGCAGAGGGTCGCTTTCACCCGATCCTCGGGCCACCACAGTGAGGTGACGGGGGCTGACATTTCGGACTCATGGCGATCCGGGTCGTCGTGGGAGGACGAAGCTTCCCCACAGGCGGGGGCGGACATCTAATATAACCACTTGGAGCAGAGGAGAAAGGGGGAGCGTGACAAGGATACTATTTCCGGCGACATTCATGTAGGACGAACATGTCTCAATGCAGATATCTGTAAGTGGCTGCCATGAAGGCGTTTGGGCAATGAACAAACCAGGAAAATGAAGATCAAGGGAGAGAGAGAGAAAAGCAAGACGAAGGAATTTGATCAAGAGGCGTGCAACGACAAACCCAAAAAGATTGAAAGATAAAATAAAATCAAAATAAATTGCCATTGAAAATGCTAATAAACATCAAACTTAATAGGCTTAGATATCGGGGGATATAGTCGGCGGGGGACGGATGGGTGACCTACTGGTGGACACGAGGCTTATCAACCAGCAAGGGGGACTCCCCACGCCATTATTGGAAGGCTCCAATCAATAGTCATAATGATCATAGGAGGTCGAAGAACGAAAGAGGAGTAGAAAGAGGGGAGTCCTCACTCTCATCAGCGAACCGGGACTCTTGCTGCACTGTAACCTAGTTGCTGGTGATAATGATCCCATGTGACTGGCACTGGGGTTGGTCTATGCTCTAAGCCGCTATGACCACCAGAGCAATGGGAAACAAGCACTGCGATCAGTAGTGTAGAAGGACGATTGCTGGCCAAGGCACTAGGAGGGCCACCCCAGCGACTGCAGGAAGAGCTCGAGCTTGCGAGGTGGCAGGGATCACCATGGCAGTGCGGCAACGGTTCATACTCGGTACAAAGAACCTTGGTCGTTCGTTGTACGGAGTATCCGTCTATGAGTGGGGAAAGGATGCGAGGCTCAGAGAGCTGGTACACAATGACAAAGTTTAGTCGCGAGTCAAGTCACGAACCGGGCCGGTGATGACGATATAATTCGGCTCACTGCGTGGATGCGTGGATATCAGCATGGCATAGCATGGCAAAGCATGACTATTGTTCTTTCTCATCGGGTGGGCTTACTCGTCTCGTCCGTATCTCCGAAGGCGATGCCGATAAGGCGAACGACATGGGGAGGAGAATGGATAAGGAGAAGCCGGAGAAGACCTTCCAGAATCAATGGATAACCAGCGCTAGTCCCAACACGGGCATCTTTCCATGATTCCAGTTCAAATACCAGCTGCCTCACTGCTGACTACATTCATACATACCTACAGTACATGTCGATTCGACCAGTAACAATTTCATTGTGATGCATCATCCCCGTCATTCGTCTGTCAATCCCTCTGCAACACAAATCCCCCGAAAAGAGGGAACCAGCAAGGGTTGCGCGTCTGTCTATCGATCGCTAGACTTGCTCCCTATGCCGGAACAAGAAACGTGGCGTGGCGCAAAGGACCCAGAAAAGGCTCTCAGATGGGCGTCTGCAGAGAGTCGGTAATTCCTGCTGGAACAGCCGCTTGTGATTTACATACGGAGTACGGAGTACAGCGTGAAGGATGGATGTGGCAGAAGCGTGGCAGGCACTACAGCCTATGATAACAGTAACCACCAGGTCCCGAGGAACTAACAAGCGCCACAATACTCAAAAAGCAGTCCATTCGAGACAAAAGAAAAAAAAAATTACATGACAATGCACACATTGAAGAGAAGACTACGGTGTACTTCAAACATGCAAAGCTCAACCATAACAATCACCAAACTTTCAGCTATCCAGGGAATTCTTATCAGCACCGCCCATTCGTCACTGCATCCGAGAGACGAATGCTTATCAGCTCTGCCGTCACGCCTCTGACAGCCGACTTTATTCATGAGAATGCGCCTATTTAGTCAGAATGAAACCTTGATAAGCCCTGCCTGCTTTGGGTTCTTACCCCTTCGGCCATCACGGACAGGGGGGGGGGGTGGAAGTAAGCAAGATAGTAGTCTACCTGACTTCTGCGCTCCGGGATTTGACCCATCCATGAAGCTCTACAACTGAGATGTAGTTACAGTACAGTGGATGTCCCTCCCGAAACAAATATCAAACCACCACTATGCACAGTTCACAACATCAACGTCTCAGGTGAAAGTGGGTGTGTGGTCCCTGCACGAAGATCCAGTGTTTGGAGAAGAATAGGACTTTGTTCCACCTTATCTCCATGCTCTACGGAGCACAATGGGTCTATTTACTAGTGCGTTAGGTGGCTCTACAAAAGTACTGTACTGTACATACCATACCCTCCATTCGGTATGCTGCTACCGGTCAGCACTAGTCAAGTCAATTGCTATGTGCAGTATACATAGTAAGTTACCAAGTCCCTTATCTTCAAGGCGATCTTCGGTCCTCGCCGGTCCGCCGGGGCAGCTCCGCCCTCGAAATTCCGGGAACTTTCAGTCAGGGATTGTCTAGATTCAAGCGAGCCATCGGAGGTACAATACAATTCTCTGTGTTTTGTGCCTGCAGACTGGAAACCAGACCCAAGACAACCATGGGGAGAATTGATCGGATGCGGGCGCAGAAGGATTCTCTAGTCAAACAATCCCCCCCCTTCCTAAGCTCAGACTTCTTGATCATTCCATGTTCACTCACGATTACCCATTTTTGGGGAAGCAAACTTCCTGTCGCGGTACTGTACAGACTCCGTGTTCAACTACTCCGGCTCCGGGATTGGAAACCCATGCTCAGACGGCGCGCGGTTGGTGGCAGCCACGCGATCTGTCTCTCTGCGGTTTGCTTTTCTGAAGAAAGGAAAAATTATCGAAAGATCTCGGGCGAAATGTACCTCCGTACAGTACTACTACTTCTGACAGGTAGAGACCAGAATCGATCGGAGTTTGACAACAGATGCAGTGCAACCTGAGATCGTCTCTTTCCTTCATGCGACGACAAGAAATGCAGATGCAGCAAGAAAAAGATACAGTAGGGTACGTAGTACATCCATGATAGGCACAACGGAGTGCTCGAAGTATAGTATGCAAAGAAATTCTCGCAGGTGCTTTTTGCTCTTTCTCTCTCCCCTTTCCTATTCACTGTCCCAGACAGAAAATAGTATCCGATGATCGCAGGCCGTCTGATGCTTCCCTCCCTCCACTGGAGGCGCGGATCCAGAATACAAATCGTATGTGCAGGGCGTGGTCTGACTGCTTCACCATCCGCAGACTAAAAACCCCCCCCAAAGAAGAAAAGAAAGAAAAAGTCAAATCAAAGAGAGACAAGAAGAAAGAAGAAAAAATCGACACTGATGTCTTTCCAAGCTAGTCAAATCATGCATCGAAGTGAAAATTCCGACACTTTCATCGCCGCCGCCGCCCCCCTTTTCATCCAGGAAAGGAGGGATCGAATCCTGCAGGGCTGATCGCAATTATATTAGGAACGAAGCGTTCATCACATGTCCGTAAGATCTTAAAGCGTTGTGCCTTTTTTTCTCTTTCTATTTTCTGTTCGGCTTCCAGAATTTTAGTCTGTCAAACCAGACCTGTCAGAAATGGATCTGCGTTTCATGTTTAATTGGGAGGGAGGGGGGAGCGCACGCGCCAGCCCCAGCTATGATGGAAACTCACCTCTTCTGTGTGTTTTCCTGTTCATTGTTCAGAAAGACAGCGTCGAGGGCTTATGATCCCATGCGCCGAATGCCGCGTCGCAATTTACTGTTCGCTCGATGCGTCGAAGCCATCCGTTGCGGTGGCTGTGGGTGCGGCGGGGTGGGATGTTGCGACGGTTCCTCATGGGACCGACGACGATTCCACGATTTGCGGAAATGCTGCTGTTCCTCGTCCTGCTGCTTTGCGCGGTGATGGAGAAACTCTTCGTGGGCCTCTTTTTCCTCGTGCAGAGCCTTGATCTGATGGACTGGTTAGTTTGGATTCAGGTACCAACTTTTCTTGCAGTTATTTTTCCAGCGCTTGGCTCGGTATAGATGGGAGAACTGGGATTCGGGCAAGAAAGAGCACAGAATTAATCAATCAGTTGGAAGAAACGCACCTGAGTCAGCCATAACTCCTGCTCCGAACTCCAGGCCTTCTGGCACCGAGCCAACTCATGTTCGGCAATCGCCAATTCTCGTTCCTGTCTTATTGTCCACCGACATCGCTCTCCAACGAGACTGGCCCAGCTCACGACGCGCACGACTCCATAATGGCGTTTGTGGGGGTTGCGGATGCTGTTGCTGCTGCTGCTGCTGCTGCTGTTGCTGCCACTGCTGTCGCTACTGTTCCGGCTACTGCTTCCGCTGCATCTGCTGCCGTCGGATTCGCTCACCGCCATGTGCACAGCTGCAGCGACAAACTCTTCATCGTCATCTGGACCCTGCACGGCACCGCCCCAGCGGATCTCCTGATGATGATGATGATGATGCTGCTGCTGTCCGTGATGGTCGATGGCCTTCCCCTTCCACACCGCTGCCGCCGCCGGAGACCGCTGGTCCGGGCGTTTGGTGAAAAGGGACAGGCCCAGGACGTATTTGACAGGGTTGCTGACCCCCATCTTGTGGACTATATAAGAACAGTCCACGAAGAAGATGACCTGAAGGAAGAAGAGGAGAAGGACAAAATGCAGTGGAGCAGAGGGGAGGAGGGTGATGACGTTCCCTGCCTGGGGGCGTGCGTCTCGCGTGCGTCTCGTTTGTCGGGCCACGGTGAACTGTTTTATTTGCTTGGCCAGGGTCCTGTTGGGAGAGCAAGAGAGAGAGAGAGAACAGGAAAACAAAACCTAAGGAGCCTGAGGTGCTTCTGCAAGGAACCTTCGTGTCCGGATTTAGATGTCTCGCGTGTGACTTGGGGCTTGTCCTGTGTCTGCACCGAGATATGAATCACATCCTCTTCCATTCTCTCCCTCGTATGGAAACCCCTTTTTTATATATCAGATTCAACGCCCACCCACGGCTTGCTCAAATCTCAGGATTACCCGACTGAACGGGACATCATTTTGCAGCATCTCAACAGATTCAACGCGAAAGGACCCGCAATTTTCTCGATTAGGCGCCATAAGAGAGACATACACGCACAACCCCCATTTTAGGCTCAGGCCTTGAGATAGAGGAAAGTGAATGGGGCTAGAACTCGTGTGTCTCGTCTCTTTGTGTGTGCTTGGCTGGCACCCATCATTATGCCTGCAGAAGCGCAGTCGAAACTACAATAACTGCATCCAATCACAGACCAAGTGGGACTGGTCAGGCATGTCATCGACCCTACGAGTCCTTGTGTCACCTCAATGACTGCATCTTGGGGAGCAAGGAAACGTGGCACATGGTCCGGCCTTGGGTGGCACACACACTGACTCCATCGGGGAATAGTATGGAATTGCTCAGAAGAAAGGAAGGTGACCGTTGCAAGGCAAACAATCGACTCGGCAGAATCACCTTCCGCACGAAGAATTTGTCAAATGTACGGAGTACATACTTGGGCTTTTCCCTCCTATGCGTGGGGCGTCGCAAGGTAAGTCGACAAACAGAACAAGGTCTTCGACCCAGATTGGAAGACACGCTGCAACGCGAAAAGTCAAATCCCATACACCAATGATGTCACAGTAATTCAACCCAAATTGTAATAAGAGGCAAGAATTCTCTGGCAGCTGACTCGTCCTCCGCCAATCTCAGAAGCCCAACCTAAGAAAAAAGAACCCAAACAAGCAAAGGGGGTATAGTACATGTACAAAGTACGTGCTATACAAGAACAGCACCAAAAGAAAAGTCAATGATGGAAAAGTCAGCGTGCCAGCTCAATGCGAACCCAAGAAAATCCGGTCGCTGCTTTGCCACTCCGTAACGACCCGATAATATGCAACAAGAATAGAAGTCAGTGCAGCGTACGGTAGTCAATGTGCCAGCGGAGTCTTGAGTTCCATAAAATCTGTGCATCGGGGTTTGCACGTCAGTGACCAAGCAGCCTGCAACTCTGGGCCTTTATCTGCGCCACGTCTCATAGACTGTGTCCCTGCTTCGAGAGGTGCCTATCCCCGGATGATCCCTGTAGCGCATAGGTCGCCGTTCCTTTCTGATCTGTTCGCCTATGATAATGCTGATCAATCTTCTATGCAAGTCGGCCTCTGTCCAAGTAATCTGTCCTGTGCCGCCGGCCCTGATGTCGTCACGAGAGACTTGCTGTGCGAACCTGTCGATGATCGCAAACTGATCCTCCGTGACTGGGACTCCAAAGACCCCGTCCGAAGTCCAGATCCAATCTCCAATAATGTCGGTCCGGCCAGGAGCCGGATAATAAGGGAAGCGCTCAGGGTGTTTCTTAGACAAGCGATAGAGGTTATGCAATAAACGGTAATGATCATTGGAAAAGTGCCCGGAGTAACGAGTTGGTTGCCGCTTGTGCCTCATCTCCCTCACTTCCTCGTAAAAAGGGTCCCGCGCATCGTCCAGTGATCCATAAGATCTGCGATCTAGAGAGACTTGTTGCTCATCTCCAGGCTCTGTAGAGTGAGACGATGGTCCTGGGATGCCTTCCAAGCGTTCCGACTCAAACTCATCACGAGCGTGTCTTGATTTTGTCGTGGCTTCTTCCTCGTATACAACTGGGTTTTCCTCCCTTGGGGAAGCTGGCCGGAAAGACTTGGGCGCTTTGAGCCATCCAGGTGTCAGGCTAGTGATTTTTTGAAACCAGGATGATGCTTGGTTGTCCGGGCTGGCTCGTCGTGGAGGATCGGGGGTGTTGTCAGTTGCAGCTTGAAAGTATTGTCCCTCGGCTGCAGCGGCATCGGCAAGACTTTCAACATCGTCTCTCATGATTTCTCGTCCACTATTCTGCCTGGCCATCTCCAATCTAGTGGTGGGATCTATCTGAAACGTCCCTTCTTCCAAGTCACTGTGCGAGCTCAGCTCTATCGAGTGTTCTGACAGCCGATCATGTTCAGACGCATGTTCGTGGACACCTTGCCTGTAAGATGCTTGATTTGATGGCGAACCACCTTCAGACTGTGATTGGCTCGCATCACTCGAAGGACTACCTTCTCCATAGTAGTAACGGCGACGCTTCGGGGTAGGATCTCCTCGATACAAATTTGTGAGGTCAACATTTTCCTCGCGCAACTGCTTGACCCGCGAACGACCGAGGAATGGCACTGTGTCCTGCTCCTTGGTCCAGTGAGCCGGAGAGTATAGTCGCCCCGTCTGACTGCGGGCCGGGGTCCAGCCAGTTTTCCATGGGCTCGACTCATGCTGTCTAGGGTGCAGGTCATTTTTATCATTGTCAAGCATAGACAAGCGATGTGATTGGTTGCCTTGTTCCATTGCCTCCTGCTGCCAGATGTCTTCATAACCCTCGTCGTCATCTTCCTCGTTCGCTTGCTCTGCCTCTACGTACCCATCCTGGCTGGGTGCCTCTTCGGGTTCATTATCGAAGCCGTCATCCTCGTTCCACTCTTCGTCTTGTTCGGCTGCAAGGTCTGATTGGTCACTCCTGTCGCTGTCGATGACAATGACTTGACTAGAATTCGCCATCTGAATTTCCCGACTGATGGCCTCCCTCTCACGTTGCCACTCCTCCATCCGTCGCCTCATGACGGAGCCGGGTGTATCGAAATCTGCCGCACTCAGCGCCGGCGGAGGTGACTTTGAAGAACTGGCTTCTCTGCTCCGTAACATAGTTCTCGCATTGGTCTTGGCGTCTGCGGCCAGCGACTGTTGGTATGCTTCTAGTTCCACTTGTCTCTGCTTCGCAAGTTGTTGTCCAAAGGCCAAGCCTGCCTGCAGAACTTGTTGGGACTGGGGGTTCAGATCCTGGAAAAGAAGTTGCAGGCGCTGTCGGTTTGCGGTTAGAGCGGAGTCAGAATACTGTAAGGTTCGCTGCTTCCCCTCCTTACGTTCTGTAAGAGGGCCTTGTAAAGCAATACCGGCGCGTATAATGCGGACGAGTCTGAGTAATGGCCTCTGGCTTTCTTGGACAGGACGCAATGTCGGAACGGCAGAGGAAGAGCGGATGCTTCTTGTGGAGGCTGATCTACCACCTGATGCGTGTTGCATTGAGGTGTTAGATTCGACGGAGCGAGCGATGCGCGTGCGAGGGTGGTCTTCTACCTGTTGCTCCAGTGTTGGCTCTATCTCTGCGTGAGAGACGGGCTTACTGCCGCCATGAGTTTCAGGGTCGCGTGATGTTCTCTGCCTGAGGACGCCGTTCGATTCTCGCTTCAGGAACGGCTTGAGAGCATTCTTGGCGATCTTTGAATTGCTATCGCCACCGAGGCCATGTTGCTTGGCTGATGGAAGAGTATCCAGGGAGACCATACTGAATCCTTCACTTTCCATAATCGAGTCGAACTCTTTATGCTCGTCCGTCGGATCGTTCCTGCCGTATGATGTACGGGTACGGCGATTGCCGCTAGGTGCTGCTGGTCGTTGGGACTGCGCCACTGTTTCCTCTCCCGCGACCGGCGAAGATGTCGTTGGGGTAGGGTATAGGCGCGGCGGTCTGGGTGTATGACCGGCATGCAACGTGCTTTTAGACGAGCTGGACTGCAATTCCCGTACGGGAGACGGCATCTTAGACGGGGTGGAGTTCAAGTTGTATTCTTCGTTGTCTAGATGGTCAACTTGTGGGGTATCGTATGTGGGCTCGAATGTCACCCGTGGAGTAGTGCTATCGTGATTGACCACCGCAGATTGCTCCGGTGAGAGTGCATCGTCGAAGATATCGATCATCTCTTCGTCCTGGGGGGATCCACCATCGTCCTCATCCGACCCTGCGTCCCCAGCAAGGTTCAGGGGGCTCCATCGCGATCGAGACTCAGCGGTCGGGGTATCCATATCGATGTCTAGTGTTCCTATATCCCGCTCGCGTCGTGCGACCGCATCCTCCTTCAGCGGGGTCTTCCTCGGTCGACCGCGCTTTCGCTTCTGCGCAGACCCGGGCGGACCTGGGGTATGACCGGGGCTTCCTGCGGCTGGTCTCGCATCGAGTAGGAGTGTATCGGACTTCCTTGGACGGCCTCTACGCCTCCGTGGTGTCTGCTCAGACTCATCCTTGAGTGGTATTTTTGTGACCATGGTCGATGGTCTAAGACGTTTTGGCGTGGGACTTCCGTAATCGTTGTTGTTCTCTTGGTCTTGCGTCGCTTCCAAAGTCACACGAATCCTCCACGGACTGACATTCCCGTCGGACTGGAGTTTATCAGGAGACAGAGCTTGCTGTTTTCGATTCAGTTTGAGGTTGGGCGAAGCGGGAAGAACGACATCGTTGAACTCGAAAGAATGGGCGCCAGGTGTGAGGTTGAGCCGCGACCGCTTCTGCCGTTTCGTCGTTCGCGAACTCTGGAGGAGGTTGAAGTCAGCTGGCGACATGAAGCTCTGACGACCAGTGAACGGTTTGAAGGGCGAGGAGATTAGATAATCACTATCGCCAGATGGCCCAAGAATGTCGGGAGAGGAGGAACTCGAGGTGCGAGAGGACATATCGGGTTATGAACGCAGCTCGCAGACCATGGGAGGGGCGACTCTCAAGTCCGCCCGTCGCGTCTCATTGAAAGAAAGGATACACCACCGT